TGTGTGTGTGTGTGTGTGTGTGTGTGTGTGTGTATGTGTATAGATAGATAGATAGATAGATAGATAGATAGATAGATAGATAGATAGATAGATAGATAGATAGTACCCTAGACATTATTTAGCAAGGGTTGCTCATGACTACTTATGGCTGGAAATGCAGTTAAGGAGCTGGAACATTATTTGGGCTTAGTCATTGTGACATTTGGAGTTGAAAAGACACAGGATTTTCAACAGGACTGTCATTGTTACATGTCAAGCATGTACCTCTTCTTAGCCCATATTTCCAATGTTTGGAATTTATCAATGCATCAAAAACAAGATACTTTTGTATTGGGGCATGTCAAAAAACCTGTATAATTCTGAAAAGAAAATATCTGAGATCTTTGGCGTTCTCTGAACTTTTCTTGCAGATGTTTCAGTACCCAACTAGGTAACATCATCAGTGCTAAGCTCAGAGAATATCAAGGATCTCAGAGTTCAACTCTGAGCTATGAATGTTATCTTCTATTGGTAAGGTAATATATGTTTCATTTGCAGTAGTGGATTGCAGAAAATGTGTTTTTTGACATTTGAAGTAGTCTTTTAATTGAGGGACAAGGGAGGGTGTTTTTGATTAATCCAATTAATTTTTCTGCATTTGTCCATGATGTAATTTATATTTTTGCATGTTAATATCTTATATTGCATTACTGCTAGCATTATTCCATTGCTGCTATCAGTATTATGTATACATTTTGTTGTTGCTTAACAAAGCTGTTAAAAATATGGCTGCAAAGGTACAACCTTTGTAAAACTGACACTCTACAAAAGTGTTAGTGTGACAATTTTCAAGCAGTTATGATTTGCAATTCCAATGTATCACGTGTGGTGTTGGAGAATTCTTATGTGGTGGCAATTTTAGCCCTTGGCTAGACCAGTTTACTATATGATGTGCAGGTTTATCTTGTACTATGTTGCTATCCTGGATTAGCCGGGACATTTTCTGATGATGCGTTGAATCATAAGAATACAAGCAATGCCTCCAGTATTCAACCCTTGACCCATCTAGCCAAGCAGTGGGTCATCACTGAATGGTCATTTTTAATACTGGGGGATGGAAAAAGAAAGATATTTGAGGTTGCTGCCAGATTAAAGCTAGATCTGGTAATGCAATGTATTTATATCCCTCCATTAAAATATACAGTTACTCCACTCAGAGCCTGACCTACAAAATAATACTGAGAAAAGGGGTTCATCTTCTGATTCTTTACATCTCAGCAGGTTTCACACTCAGCTGCCAGTAAAAATGAAAACATCATTTTGGGATCCAGACATTCTTTTCCTTCCATTATATTTTTGTATTAGGCTACTGCAAGGAAAATATGTATGAAACCACTAATTAATAATCACGTTTTTTCTGCTGACATCCTGCCAACAAAGGATCCTTTGAAAAACCTAGAGGTGTACATTTTATGTATTTAAAATATTTATATAAAGTTGTTCAGAAGCTGGAGACATGTTGGAAAGTAGCTGTAGAGAGTCTTTCCTTCTCCTAGACTAAACCAACTCAGGATATCAAGATGGCAGATGGGACTGGATGCGTGTTGCACTGTTGCAGCGTCCGAAAGGTGCTTTTTCGGGAGGCAACAGGACTTCCTTGATTTTTTTTTCTTTTAATACATTTCGCTTCTTGGATGAGAAGCGAAATGTCTTCAAAAGAAAAAACAAGAAAGTCCAGTTGCCTCCTGAAAAAGCACCTTTGGGACAACCATGACCTGGATGACTGAGAATCTCTACAGACCACTATTGCATTGTTTCTAGAAATGGCTGTGGAGTTGGGGAGGGGGGCTTCCCTAGATTTGCAGTGCTCTTACCTGGAGTTCTGTGGTCTCTTAGCCTTGCCTAGCTCTTTTGCACTTGTGGAGCTTTGTGGGTTTGCTGACCAGTTCATGAAATGGCAATGATAGGAAGTGGTCAGAGTGATTGTGTGGCTGTGGCAAGCTGTAACTTCCTTAAAGGGACAAACAACAGCTGTGTGGCAAGTGAGTGGTGAGTGGACCACAGGCAAATAGACCATCTTGGTAACTGGAGCCTTTCAGATAAGTGACCAGCAGCTGAACACCCAGAGCCCCTATGAGTGGCCAGAGCAACTAAGAGGCATTTGGTGCCCTCCCCGAAGACCCAAAACACAGGCTAGTGGTTAGTGAGAAGCAAACAGTTGTGAATGGACAGCACCACACCAGAGCTGGAACCTCCCAGGCAAGCAGCAGAAGACACAGGGGAGAGTGTGCGCAGCATTCAGGTGGCAAAGGGTGGGCAGTCAAGTAGGCCCAAATTGGTGACTGGAACTTCCCAGAGAAGCAACTAGTCAAGCCACGCCAGCAGAGTCTTCCATGCAAGCTGCCTGGTTAAGTGGTTGGAATGAGCCTGGGCAAACAATCAGACAAGTGGCCAGACAGACAGCTAGAGCAGGTAAGTGGCCAGAGCCTTGGTGAGAGGTGGATACAGCATGTGAGCATAAGTGACCCAAGTTAAATTTGATTTTGTTAGACCTGAGGAAGGTGTACAAGATCCTTAGGACTATAAATGCAATCACCTGTGAACTAGATACATGACCCTCCTCACTGGTCAGGGCCAACTAGGAGATTACATGTGGTGTGTGAGTCCTAACTATAGTTAATTCATCTTTGAGAGATGGGGGTGTTCCTGGCGTTCTTTAAAGAGGCCATGGTGTGCCCTCTTCTGAAGAAGCCATTGCTAGATCCTACCATGCTGGACAATTTTCTTCAATCTCCTACATCCCCTTTTTAGGAAAAATGTTGAGAAAGAGATGGTACTAGAGCTCCAGAGATGAAACAGATGAATCCTGGATCAAACAGATGGACTCCTTTCAGTCAGGTTTCAATCCCAGATGGAACAGAAACAGTATTTTGTATGATCCCTGGCAGGAGCAGAAGCATGGGGTGGTGAACTCATCTTTACTCTCCTTGACCTCTCAGTGACTTTTGATATTATTTATCGTGGTATCCTTTTGGGTCAGCTCCAAAAGTTGGGGAAGGGAGGAACAGTTTTGTACTGCTTCACCTTCTTCCTCTTGGGCTAGTCCCAATCAATGTTGATAGAGAGCGAGAGATCCAGTCTTCAGTCCCTTATTTGTAGAGTACTGGCTCAGTGTTTTCTCCACTTTTTTTTAAACATCTACATGAAGCAGCTGGATCTTCCCTCACCATAGGATAAAGTATCATCAGTATGCAATTATGTACAGTTGTACATCTACATCCTGTGTGTACATAGTGATGCTGTGCATTTTTTTCACACTGCTTGGAGACTATGGGGCTCTTGATGGGTAACAAAAGGCTTCAACTGGTAAAATGGTTATTGTAGGTAGGCGTTTCCTCTATGTCTAGGGATTTACCATTTTTAGTCTTAGATGGGGTTGTACCATCCCAGATGGATCCAGTGCATAATTTGGGGGTCACGACTGATGTTTGAGGGGAAGGTGGCAGTCATGGCTAGAATGCCTTTGTTATGTTATGTGCCAAGTATGCCCATGTTATGCCCTTTCCTGAATCAGGAGGCCCTTCTCTCAGTCATTCATGTCCTATTCATCTCCCATATGAATTACTGCAATGCACTCTATGTGATGTTTTTTTGAAGAGTATCTGGAAGCTGTAGCTGGTACAGAATGAAGCTGTGTAAGCAATTTTGGTGTCCCAGGGACTGTAATACCTTTACTTTGTGAGCTGCATTGGGCAACAGTTTTTATCCAGGTCCAATTCAACGTGTTGGTTATAACCTTTAAAGCCCTTCATGGCATGGGACCAGGTTGCCCTTCATGGCATGGGACCTATCTTGTCTCAGTTTTATCAAACTACCCTACCCAGTCAGGCAGAGAAGGTATGTTAGGGACCCTGTTCTCTGCCACATGGAAAATCTTACTTCCAGAGGTGAGGTTGGCTCCTACCCACCTGGCATTCTGGATGCTGTGAGATACAGCTCTGCCATCTCAGAGAGTTGGGAGTGGCATGTAAGCCTGGTGGTAATTGGTGTCCTGAGGGTACTTCTTCCATCATTTATTTCTGTTCTAGTTTCTTATTCTGTTTTAAATTCAGTTTTTAATTATGTATTTGTTATACGGTTTTATGTTTTCTTCTGCAAACCTCCCAGAATCACTTTGATAATGAGATGAGCAGTGTCTAAATTTGATAAATAAAAATAAATAAAATAAACACTCTCTAACCTGTTGTATACTAGGTATATTAGACCACAACAGTTGTAGTTGTTCAGATATGGACTAGATCCCATTTCTATCCTATCCTTTGCCATGGAAGCCAGTGATTTGGGGCAGTGACTCTCTCTCAAATCTCCCAGGGTTTTAATATTAAAATCTCCCAGGATTTTAATACTGGGGAAAATGAAAGTAGGGAGTGCAATGGAAAAGCAGGAAAATAAATAAAAAAGTAAATAAGTAAAATAATCTCCAGTTGGTATACCACAATGCTAGAGACCATGAAAGTTGTAGATCAGTTCACTTGGAGAGCACCAATTTTAGAAGTTTAATCTAAAGACCACTCATGTTTCTTTTGTGTTTCATATGGAGTCTCATCAAACCAGTCTTGCACATTTTTGAATAAAGTAGAAAGCTGGCACAGAGCTTTGCTGAACAAAGAGGCAAAAGTGGGATGATGCATTTTTTTTAAAAAATTGCCAAGCCCTAGTTTAATGCACAGATGTCCCCAAGATATTCAGAATATTCCATTTGGAACATTCTAAGAAATTGATGGGAGAGCTCAGAAATTAGGCAAATGTAACATGTCAATTGGCCCATAAGGCTAAGGACACTGAAGTGTGGAAATTACTTATTATCCTGGGATCAACATTTAAAAACATGTTTCAACAAGTTTGAAATGTTGATGCTTAGAGGGGGCTGGTTAGTGGCTTGGATGAATCTCTTAAGATACTTTTAAAAAAATGCACCAGGTTTGTTTTTCTTTTCTTTTTCAAAATTTGAGATCGCTTACCTTCTATAAGACATTCGTCTGGGAATGGAATTTTCTTCCCCATCTCCATGACATATGCTTTCACTTTAGAGAGATTTTCTTTTAAGTAAAAGTAAAGCTTATCTTGATGCTCCATGGGATTCTTTATGATCTTTGGGCTCTCTTCGTGGCAGTTTTCTTTAACAGGTTCTGGCAGATTCTCTGGTTCTGAACATTTGATACCTGGGTGTGAAAGTGAAGTTTGTTCCAGCTGGGACTCTTCGGAGATTGTACTGGAAGGCAATTTGTCAGTTTCTTGGCTTAAATACAGATCAGTGAAAGAGATGCTGGCTGTAACATCTCCATTCTCCCCTTCTTCTTTGCTGTCTGCATGGATGTCCTTCATATGACCAGCATGCACTACTAAACTTTGGGACCTGTAGCGTAAACAAAGGAATGGACTAAAGATTTGGGAATGGAGGCAAAATAGCCTAGGGACTCAATTCAGGTCTGTGGCCAAAACGGTTATTTCAGGGGAAAGAGCAGCCGCTTACTCTAAAGACTTACTTGTCCTATGCCCAGATATGGGGTTGTATTTTTAATACAAAGTAGACCAATTAAAATTGGACCCCACTTTGCCCTCTCTCTACAGCTTAAGTGCATATTATGCTTGATATATAAAGAATTATATTTCCACATGCTTTATATGCATAAGGGGCAAAGGCATATTTTACATGTCTGCAGTTGCCCTGTTGATGATGTTATTTCCATTGCATTGGTGAAGCTGCTCTGCTTTTTATACAAAGAAAGGACCCCCCCTTTTTTTTAACCTGCCAGGGGCTTTGCAATATAACAGAAAAAGTGAAACAGAGGTGAAAACAGCTGGAGGGATATGAAAAAGAGGAGGGAGGGATCTCCTGTAAAAGCTAGAGATGTCAGAGTAATCAGTGGTAGTTTAGTTCAAACTACAGATTACATGGGAACTGAGCTGGGATGTGCTTCACTTATTTTGTTTCTCCAAATGTATAACAAAGTAGGCAGAACATGTTCTTATATACAATAACTTTAAATTCTTTTATCAAATATTCATTCCTGTCAAACCATTGCATACTACCCACTATCAGAATTAACACACCCTAAATTGATTCAGTTTTTCCATCTTAAGTAATCGTCTATCCAAAGTACATAAATTCATTCATTTGTTTGAGTTTTATACTCCCCCTGTGCCCCGTGTGACTCTGCACATGCGTGCGTGACCCGCCACGACCTGCCCCTTGCGCATGCGCATGTGTCTCCCACATGCACCCCGCCCCCTGTGCATGCGTGGCAGATATCTGACAATCAGCTGGCTGTGGATCTGTTCCTGGTGAAGGCTTCTGGCATGCATGCCATAGGTTCGCTATCACAGCAATATAACATTTGCCCTCATTCTATTTCTCAGCTAAATACTTGATATGATTGCCAAGTACACATATATTTATGTTTCCAACCAATATACTGCATCTCTACTGTTACTACACGAATTTCCTACACATTTCATCATAAATATAGTAAACAGCTAAGTGGGAATTGCAATTATTCGCTCCATTTTCACTATCGTATACAGTAGCTGCAGTAGTCCTCAATTTACAATCGGTCATTTAACAACCTTTCAAAATTACAAAGGTGTCAGAAATGGCGCTTTACAGTCTGTAAAGCACTTTTGGACACCATAAAATATTGTGCATGCCCTTCAATGGTTACATGACCAGATTTCAGGTGCTTGGCAACCAACACATATTTTATGTTTGATTGCAGTGTTGCATGTTCACATAATTGTGATTTGCGAGGTTTTTTGCCTTTTACACCTACTTGGGAGAATGAATTTGCTTAATGACCATGTGATTAACTTAACAACCAAATGGTTTCGACTTACAATTGTGTCATTTGCTTAACAACTGCAATAAAAAGAGTGGGGAAAATTGGGTCTGCTCACATGGGTGCCTCAACTTAGAAATGTAGTCACATATGACCAAAATTCCAGTCCCGCTTATAGTCATACGTTGAGGGCTTATGGTACCTGGTCTTTGATACATTAATTTTCAGTTTCATGCTGCTGTTACATTATACAATCTATATGACATTTGCCTCAAATCATTCATGTTCTCAGATCATAACACAGTATTATCTGCATACCAAAATACATAAACATTCATGTCCCAGAAAACACACCATGAATATTCCTTATATACTGATTTATAACCTAGACCATTCTAGGATCAGGGGCTCCTATTATGATCATTCATGTCCTTATGACTTTCAGATTAGACTACTACAATGCATTCCACTGAGGGATCACCCCTTGAAAATCACTCGGAAACTTCAGCTGGTGCAGAATGAGGTGGCATGGGCAGTTAATTGCACTGGTTATTCTGCTTATGTGACATCATTGAACCATGAGCTGCATTGTCTTCTGGTGTGCTTCCAGGTGCAATTCAAGGCACAATTCAAGGCAAATTCAAAGCCAAGAACTACCTTTAAAATCCTTCATGGCTTGGGACCGATTTATTTATGGGACTGTTTCTGTCCAATTGTTTCTATCTGTCCAGCAGGAGGGGTGTGCTGAAAGTGCCAAAAGGACAGTTGTCTGACAGGCTCCAGGAGAAGAGCTTTACAATTAGCTGATTCTTAATCAATAATATATTTCTTCCTTTCTTTCTGTTTTTTATGTTATGCATTGATATACTTATCTTAATAAAATTTCCTGGACTCATAAAGACAGTATTGTGGCTGGTCAGTTCTTATCATCACTGGATACAGTCATGCTTATAAGTTTGCACTTATTGGATTTTCTTTGACATGTGTGATTACATACCCAATTTTTAGACTTTATCAGTATACATGTGCTTTTTTTTTTTAACAAAAGGAGAAGGAAAAATTTTCTCCTGGGGTTCTTGTTCCTTTAAAACCTCATTTTGAACACATCCACATTGGAAAAATAATTCTTGTTATGATATTTAAAAGAAGTATTTTTTTTTTTTTTGTTTCTGAACATTCTCAAATCAACTTTTTCTGATTTTTTTTGTTTCTTCAAATCCACATAGGGTTTTGTTTCCTCTCTATTTTACTCTCTCTCTCTCTCTCCCACTCTCACTCTCTCTCAATACTTTGGAACGTAAAATAGGTTAAACAAATAACTCAAAGCGATCTTATCCAGATCTGAGTTACTGACAAGAAGTCTGGATACAATTAAATGCCTGATGCCCACTGGTACTATGCAACTTGGCTGTTCATTGAAATGTTACTTTATACACACACATATAGACACACAAACATACAAAACCCGATCTGCATGCAAAAGTGTGAATAGTTATTATTAAACCAGGAATTTATTATATCTATTAAACCTCAAGTCTTCTTTAGAAACCAAGCAATTATACCTACATACTTGGCAATGTTTATTTTCTCTCCAAAGTTATAATTTTAACTTGAAGTATTTTATCCTTTTCATCCTCAATCATAATAGATTTTAATAGAGTTCCACTGTGAAGGAGATTCTGTTTCAAGCAATATCTTCTACTATTAAAGATTGGGGGAAATCTGCGGGATTAAGAGTTATGTTTTTGTAGGAAATAGAATTTTTTAAAAATAAAAATCTCTAAACCTCACAGACATATCAGCATGTCTAAATCTCACAGACATGCACTTCATTCCAAGTACATCTTTGGTCAAGTTCTTTCAAAGAATGATTAATTATTAGAAAAGTGAAAAAAATGATAACTTTTGCATTCTGCAATTGTTGACTATAATAATGTCCAAGTTATTTCCTAAACTTTATTATTTACTTTGCAAGTGGCTATCTTTTGCATACTATGATTTTCAGCAAAAGGAGTACACATTAATTAATATTTAAAAAATAAATAATATAATGTAATAGTAGCTTGAAACAACAGCTTGTTTAGCTCCAAATCTTATCTAGGTATTTCATGGCTGCATCTCTTTCGTTTAAAACAATCAGAAATGGCACTCTGAACAGTTAATACTAAATAACATTATGAGTGCAATGGTTCCAATAGGCTGTGGCTTCTACACTCTCCATAAATATTAATTTGTTCCTGCCTCTGGAATGTCTAAAATGTGCCTGGAATCTCTGCAAATAGCTTCTGTTAATACTCCATCCTGTTGCAGCAAATTCCACAAATTAATTGTGCACCTTGTTTGAAATCTCAAAACTCTTCAGTGTCAACCTGTTTTGAAAAGCCCAGCATTCCTCAACTCAGCTCACTAGAAAGGAAAGGAAGTTGAGATATAGGCATTAAATCATCCCATTTGTCATATATAGAAAAACAAAACTAAATGGCTGACTGACAGAAATGCTTTTGAACCTTGGTAGGCGTGTTTGAAAACAGACACACAAATGTGTGGATGTATGGAGATATGTATGGAAATATATAGATTTATGATGGCAGTTATAGCCAGGAAGACCTTTGTGCAACTGTGGGTTACATGTGGTGTTCACTCAAGTCCTAGTCTTCTCCTGTCTTGACTACTGCAATATGTTCTACATGTGGCTACTGGCTGCCCTTGAAACATATCCAGAAACTTCAATTGGTTCAAAATACAGTGGTCCACATGGTTTTGTGTAGGCCTAGATGTGCACATGTCTCATGTTTCCTGTGGGAACTGCACTGGCTGCTCATTTGCTTCTGGATCCAATTCAAGATGGGGGTTGTCATCTTCAAAGATCTAACATGGCTTGTGTTAGATCTGTGGTGGATCGGGTCGAATGAGACGCGAGACCATTCTGTGAGTTCAGCTCTTTATTTGCAATAAGAACAGTCTGAAGAATACAAGCCGCGGCAGCCCTTCATATAGGGCTGGCTCGCGGCTCGACGGCCAATGGCAGCGCTTTGAATCTCCCGCAATCGGCACAGCCAATCGCGGTAGATTCTAAGCGCTCCAATCACGGCCGGGGCGTCAACCAATCAGGTCGCTGTCCGTCGGGACCAATCGGGTTCGAGGGTTTGGAGTATGCTAATACAGCACACCCCTCCCCTCTTGGTTTCATCTGTCGGTGCGTCGTGACGTAGTCGCGCAGGTAGGCGGGTCTCCGTACCTGCCTAGTTGACCTGCGCAGATCAGTTCTTGTTTGGTTGTCGACCGGTTCAGAGGCCTTCTCTGTTGCTCTGGTTCCCCGGGATGGAACCGCCTGGAAGGTCGGGCTGGGCCTTTCTTGGTAGCTCCCTCCCGGTCTACCCGGGCTGGTTGAGCTGCCGTCTTGGCTGTTCCTGCGGGATCTTTCCGGGCTGGTTGTGCTGGCCCGGCTGCTCCTTCCTGGTGACGTTCCTGGGGTTGCTTGTTCAGTGGGACCCGTGTTTGCTGGTGAGTAGGACTGGTTTATTTGTGGGTTTTTTGTTCCGGGTGGGGGTTGTTCGGCTTGCACTAGGGGGTTCCCTTT